AAAAAAAAACATACATGAAAAAGAATAAAGATGCCTAGAGCTTCATGCAGCAGCCAAGGTGGGGCCGAAACAGCACATGTAAAGCAAGTCTCCAGCTACCTATCTGCAGTGCTGCTCCTACAGGCCCCAGAGAAGACTGTAGTCTTCTATGCCCCTTCTTCTCAGACATTACCTTCCCCATAGACTGGGCCAAGAAGCATAGGCATTTCAAACCCACACCACAATGAACAGCCCCTGAGAAGAGAAGCTCGTATAGGTGTCAGTTTCTGCAGGGGGAGCAGAAGCAAGTGGAAGGACCCTCGGGATCCCCTGTTCACAGTGCCACTCCCTTGGTGACCCTGGTACCTCTTGGCGTTGATGTCAGAGGAGTCATATGGCGATATTGGGGGCAGGGTGTCCACTGTCAGCGTGTGCTTGTAACTTTGGATCATCACAGGTGTGAGCCAGGAAAACGTGGCGAAGGACAGCAGCCCAGCATCATCCACGGGGTTGGACGCCAACCTAGACGAAATGATATTCTCGGGTTCCTGGACGTGGGGCTAGCCGCCATGACATGCTGGCTTGGATTGGTAATTACAGTAATAATCAGAGCCACTCATGGAACCTGGAACTTGCATTCTTCAGCCTTTTGGGTAGTTCCTGATCCAGCTTACCCCAGCTCAGGAAAGCAGACGGCGAGCGTTCAGAAAATAAGCAGGTCAGCTGTTAAACACAGCCAGTGTTCAAAACTGAGTAACACACACTTAATCCTATTATCCTGAAATCAACGGTAATCATATCCAGACTTAGCACCTACTTGTCTTACTACTTCTGGTTATAATTTTTAAATACCTTTATTAGACTATATTTCAAAAACCGCGGAGTACTGCATGAATTTTCGCATCATCCTAAATGGGGTCCACATGCTGTCGAAGGGAAGCATTTGTAGGTCTGTCCTTGTCCCCTCAGGAGTCCCTCACATTCATTTGTCATCTTTGTGGTAGGGATGCCCAGGAGTGGGGAACTTCTGTGCATCTCTCCAACATCCCGTGCAGGGATGCCACATCGGTATCCAGGTAATTACATCGTAAAAGTCGAAAAACATGTGCAGTGAATATGGTCAAAATGAGTATGTATGAGACAAAGACAGAGACAGATAAATGGTCAAAAATAAAAAAAAATAAGATGTGAGATATGCTATGAGCTGAAGAGATGCCTCTGGGCCCTCTGTTACTCAGAAAAGGCAGCATTTTCTGGTGTTGTGGTTAACGAGCTATAAAATAATAAATATACTGAACTGTTGAGCATATGTGCTTGGAACTTAGCATATGTTCCTGAAACGCTGTCCTGGAATTTAAAAGTGACCCACTCAGCCAAGAGTGGTGGCACGCGCCTGCGATCCCAGCACTCAAGGAGGCAGAAGCAGGTGGATCTCTGGGTGTTCTAGGCCAGCCTGGTCTACAAAGCGAGTCCAGGATGGCCAAGGCTATGCAGAGAAACCCTGTCTAGAAAACCAAGCAAAGCAAAATAAACAAATAAACAAAAGTGAGCCGCTCTCTTGTATTCCAGCCCCTTGGGTGTGGCACTGCAGCTCACGACAGCAAAAAGTGGCCTCTATGCCCCTCATGCTGAATCTCGGACGTCCCGAAGCTCACGCTGGTGGACAGAATGCAGTGAAAGTAGTGTGCTGGTGTGAGTATGAGTCTCAAGGTGGCCTGCTTGTGTCCACTCATTCTCTTGGAAGCCTGCTGGGAGGCTGAGCGGCCATGGCCCAGGTGTTGCTGTTGTCCCAGTCAACTGTAGGTCAACCCTCAGAAACACACAGAGATCCACCTGCCTCTGCCTCCCTGAGTGCTGGGATCCTCACCTGTGCCCCTCCCCCGTCCACTGGTAAGGGAAGTCCTCCTCCCTTTCTCTCTGACCCTAGTCTATCAGGTCTCATCAGGACTGGCTGCATTGTCTTTCTCTGTGGCCTGGTAAGGTTGCTCCCTTTATTATGTTAGCTGTCATCTCACCAACCACAGGAGAAAACAAGAAGCTAGTGTCCCGCAAATGAGTGGATGGATGAATAAAAGGGTAGACATAAGGATTGTACATGGTAAGCAGAGGCTGGGGATTATCCCTGGGGGCCCCTGGCCTGCCCACCTCAGTCCTCCTCCTGGCTCACCTTGAATAGGGTCGCACTGGGATCATGGTTTTCAGGCTGGGATCATATCTCTCGGAAAAGGATCTCCGCTGGCCTCTCCGATCCAGGTCTGAGATAAGGTATGGGCCCTCACCCACCATCTTGATGCCGGTCTGGAGCCCTAGACTCTTGGCTTTGGGACACTTTCAAGCTGCAAACAATGATGAAGATGGCTCGCTGAGAAATGAGAAATGGAGACTTTGGGAGTACAGTCAAAACTCACTATTGCTGTTACACCTCTTCACTTGTTTTGAGTCCTGCCACCTGGTTTTATCCATTTGTCTCAATATCTAAGAAGGACTGTGGCCAGATGCTACCAACACCCCTTAACCTATATTCTGAGATCCTTCCTTTGAGTAATCACACCTCATTCCTCTTCTGTTCCTACCTTGAGTAGGCTAGGATCCACAAATCCTCCTGGGAGACTTCACTGAGGGTCAACCCATGAGGAAGGCTGGTTCTCAACCCAGTAAGAGAGGCTCAGGAAAGAGTGGGTTTGCTCTCTGGATATGGTGAACGCTGCCATACAGCTACAGATCCTCCCAGGAGCTTATGCATCCACAGCCCCTCCGCCTGGATACCCAGTGGGCAAAAAGAACTTCAACAAGGCCACCCCTCATGACCATTCACATCAAGACAAGCACATGTTCCCACTGGTTCTGTGACCAATGCCCTCAAGGAAAACCCATAACCCAGATGTAGAGAACATTTCTGTGTCTGCCTGGCCTACAGATCAACTGTCCCATTTGTGGAGATTCCTGCAGAGGGCTTCTCATATTTTCTGAGCCCTAGCTCTGGACTTGCCCTGAGTTCCCAAGACATCCCTCTCTCCCCCCCAATAGGAGAAATAAATGGCACCTTCTTGCTATGCTGTTTTGAACTTGTTTCTGGCCCTCTTAACCAGCATATATATCCTTATGCTTAAGTATACATAGGGCTCAATTTCCTGTGAGTTCTCCCTGGAAGTTCTCACAGTTAGACAGCAACTCTCATCAAGGTGCCATAAATGACCAATAAATGGCCATTTGGGGATGGCCCAAGATGAAAGTGTCCCTCAGATGGACTCTTGTACAAATCCTTCACTATCTGGAAGAGGAAACTGAGACCTGAAACTCCTTACTCTGAGAGTGACACAGTCCTACCTGGGGAAACTAAAACTTGCTTTTTTTTCCCCCCAATAACCCTGGAAAACTGTATTTGTCCTATATTACAATAGGCATGTGTCTGGAATGATGTGCCTTTTTTTTTATCACACACACACACAAAAAAAAATGAAAACAAAAACTCTTTTATTGAGACAGGAAAAAGAAATCTTTCCAAGTAGAAACTGAAACATGAAATCAGATGGGAGAGGTACATGCTTTTGTGCCTAAAATCTCTTCATCCAGTTAATGAATATTAATGACCAGAATGCTGTCGACATAGCCCCAGAATCCTAATTCACTCAGAAGTCAGAAACTTCCAAAGTTGCTAGATCTTTTGCTAATATGCCCCCTCCACATGGACAATCTCACACTCCACTCCAGTCAGGCTAAGTGTATTAATGTCCTCTGAACAAAGCTCCAGTCCCTCCTGGTGCTGCTGAGTGTTTGTGCACATGCCTGAAGCAACCTGGTCTCTCCGCACTTGGCCAATTCTTGCTCGGACTCTGGGGCTCAAATTACGCCTTTCCTCTGCTGAGAAACTTTCCTTTTTACCTAAACAGACTGTGGGCTTCTTGTCTCTCTCATTAACAGCCGCACTCTTGCACCTAGCCCGTGTAGACACTACCTAGCTGGTGCTTATGTGTCAGTTGGGACTGCAAGTAGCAAGTATCTGAGAAGTTGAAAACAGAAATGCTCTCCTCGAAGAAAGAAGAAAATGAGCACACGATAGCCCTGCTGCGCTGCGAATCACAGGACAGCATGAGCTCTAGAAAAAAAGACACCAAAGTAAGGGTGACGGTGAAGGTAAGAAACTAGAGAGAGACACTAAACAATAAATAAATCAGCTATCACACAAACACCTAAAAAGCTGAAAATAAGGAATGGAGAAATTAAAAACACAAAGCAAACAAAAGACCCACGAAATAAATGGAAAACAAAAGCAGGCCAATAAATGTAAATCAAATCATATCAGTAATTATATTAGATATGCATGAACTAAGCACTGCAATTTTTAAAACAGAGATTGTCAAACAGCAGAAAAACAAGATCCCATGATATGTTCCCCACAAGAGACACACTTCAAATATGACATAGTATAGCTAGTCTTGCTGGTGAATGCCTGTAATCTCAGCTGCTCAGAAGGCTGGGGCAGGAGGGTCACAGATTCAAGTCCTGACTAACTTAGCACAACCCTGTCTCAGAGTAAAAGGAGTAACAAAGGGGATACAGCTCAGTGTTAGAGCTCATGCCTAGCATGCCTAGAGTCAATCCAAGATAGCACTGAGATAAACAAATATATAGGCAAAGTGTCTAGAAAAGAAAAACTGGGGGGCGGAGCCAAGATGGCGACTAGCACACACAGTTTCCGAGCTGTGGAAGAGATAAAGTTCTGAGTTGATGAGTGGAAGAACTTCTGAAGCCAGGGAAACAACGGAGAGACTTTCTAAACAACAGGGAACATCGCAGGAGGTGAAAACCTTGGTCTCAGGTCACCCAGGGACTTGTTTGGGGAAGGTGAGAAACGATCCTATGATCTCTCGGCACTCCCCTCCCCCAGACCTTCCTCCTCCTCCTCGGCACAGCGGACTCGCCTTTCTCAGCGCAGACCTAACTGCCTGGGGCCTGCAGCCACTGAGGCGGAGCCCCAAGCCCTTTATCGGCAAAGGCCAGCAGTACTGTGTCTCGGAGCCCCAGATTCACGCGCGGCAGCTGCACCATCCTCCCAGGGCCCGAGTCTGCTAGACGCCATACTAGCTCCGCAGGAGCGCCATCAATGATGGTACGGCCTGCCCAATCCCACAGTGACAGAGAATACGCTATATACTCACCAAAACCAGACAGAAATGCCATACAAGCTAGACACACCAGGCGCTGGGCCTCCGAAGCTTGGAGAGCACAGTGAAGAGACCCCAGGACTTCCCAGAAAGCATCTGGACTAGCAACCCAGTCTCCAGTTGCAGTGAGACTTTCTAACCTGGCGGCGGAGCAGCACTGAGCTGGCGGGGCACATCAGCCCTCCAGTTTAAGACTAACCAGGGCCAAACCAGGGAACAGAAAGGCTGGTTACCCCGATTCCTACTGACGTGACCACCCTGAAATCTCCAGCTGCAGCAAGACCTCATAACCTGGCAGTGACAGCAGCACGGAACTGGCGGAGCACATCAAAGAAGCAGGGCCAAACCAGAGAGCAGAGAGTCCAGATACCCCGATCTCTGCCAAGTGACCTGCCTGTAAGTGAGTGCACCCTTGAGAATCTGCAGCTCCACTGATCCTGGGTCCTTCTAAAACAGAAGCCAGGCATCGAACCCCCTCCCACCCATATACCCACTTTGGGAAACAGAGGGGCACTTGGAACATTGAAGTTCCTGCTCTGTGGGTCTAATTGAGGAGTTAAGGCAGTTAATGCCAGAAATTGCGCTGCGATCATCACTAGCGCCTGCGACATATACATTGCAGAGCCCCTCCCACACACTCAAGGGTTCAACATTAGCCATCACTCTGTCCCTCGAGACACACGCCCACGCACACTTACACACACACACACACACACACACACACACACACACACGCACGCTTGCATTTGCCTCTGTTTGCGCCTGTGTACTTTCCTCCCACAGGTACAGCTAGTCCTCAGCACACACTAAGGACACGGGACCTCTCTCAACTTCCTGAAGAATTCTCCAGACTCGAGAGAGAGACAGTACCAGTCTGATCGGCAGAATCCAAAAACAAACAGGGAAGGTCTCAGATAAGCCAATGGCCAGGGGTAGGCGAAAGAACACTTCCAACATAAATCAGGACATCATGACTTCACCAGCAAACCCCCAAATCAATGGATACTCCAATTCATCAGAAGCACAGGAAAATGACCTTAAAGCCATGCTTGCTCAATTATTTGAGGCTCATAAGGAGGAAATGAACAAATCTTTCAAAGAGTTGGCCAGTCAATTGGAGGTAAAGAAAGAAGAAATAGACAAAACCCTTAAAGAAACACAGGCAAACATAGCCAAACAAATAGAGGCACAAGTAGAGAAAAAATTAGTGGCATACAAAAAGGAAATGAACAAAGAAATAGAGTCCATCTTAGAGAGACAGGAATCCAAATTCAAACACATGAAAGAAATGGTGCAAGGCATGAAAACAGAATTAGAATCAATAAAGAAAACACAAAATGAGAAAACTCTTGAGCTGGAGAACTTGGAGAAAAGATCAGGAACCACAAAAGTAAGCATCACCAACAGAATACAAGAGATGGAAGAGAGAATCTCTGGAGCTGAAGACACACTTGCAGAAATTGATACTTCTCTCAAAGAAAAAGTAAAATCAGAAAAATTCCAATCACAAAATATCCAAGAAATCAAGGATGCTACGAAAAGACAAAATCTAAGAATAATAGGAATTGATGAAAAAGAAGACTCCAGGCTCCAAGGCCCAGAAAATATTTTCAAGAAAATCATAGAAGAAAATTTTCCCAACTTAAAGAAAGAGATGTCCATAAATATACAAGAGGCCTACAGAACACCAAATAGACTAGACCAGAAAAGAAACACATCACGTCACATCATAGTCAAAACACTAAATCTACAGAACAAAGAAAAGATATTAAAAGCAGCAAGGGAAAAAGGCCAAGTAACATATGAAGGTAGACCTATCAGAATCACACCAGACTTCTCATCAGAAACTATGAAAGCCAGAAGGGCCTGGGCAACTATCATGGAGACTCTAAGAGATCACAAATGTCAACCCAGACTACTATACCCTGCAAAGCTTTCAATCAACATAGATGGAGAAAACAAAATATTCCATGACAAAACTAAATTTACGCAATATCTATACAGCAAACCAACCCTACAGAAGATACTAGAAGGAAAACTCCAATCCAACGAAAACGAACTCACCCAAGAAAACAGGGCATACAGATAATATCCCAACAAAAATGAAAAGAAAACAAGCAATGAAACAAGGTAAGATCATCGACTCCATTACAAAAGGAACTAACATGCAT